CCTACGAAACCCGACGAACCCTTTCCTTACGGAATCAACCCCAAATTGACCTTTGAAACGCCCGACAAAACCCTAGAAACACCCTTGAAAAAAGGATCGAGGCATTTCACCATAATATTCTTGTAATAATACTTATTTTTATCTAACTAAATACCTACTATATGAATGATGTTCCTTCTATATATATATATATATAAGTAGCTATCGCCACTCCAAAAGGGTATTCTCCGGCTCGCCTCTCGCCACACGCTGCTGCCGAAGGGGCGCAAGCATCATGAGTGGCGGAAGGAAACTTTAAAAAAAAAACGAATCCATGCACTTGCTTAGGGAATTTGGGATTTTTAGAGTTCCTTGACCCCTACACCCAACAGGTGTGGACACAGAGCCTTAATTTTACGACACGAAACTCGAGGTAATGGTGTCATTTCGGTCACGGAAGGTTTGCATATCCGGCGTTCGTGCTGGGCTCTATGCTCGGAGAGGCTTCCAAGGGAAGGCGCTCAAAGCTGCAAGCTCTGTGGTCCAGGGGAAAGCAGAGCTTACACCCTAAAGATAGGGGCCTTAGATCATGAGACTGGCTTATTGACTTATTGTACCATAACGAAATCTTCTGACAACATCAGTGGCCCTTTTTTGCAAAGGACCAGTTAACATGGAACATGAATACTGATACTACTAATGGAAATGAGAATGATGTTCGTAAAAGTGGCCATGGTCATAATCATGCGACAGTCTCAAGCTTCCATGTCGACTTCGTGAAATTGTCAGCTGACGGCTCCTGAGCCCAGACTCTCACTGAGCTTGGGAGGCTGCTTTTGGGGGGTTTCAGGGTTTGAGGTTTGGACTTTAGGGTTTGAGGTTTGGGGCTGGGATTGAGCAGCCAGGGTTAAAAACCTTCAGGGTTCGGAAGGTTGGGGTTTAGGGTTTAGGGTCGGGAACCTGGCTACACCTACCATGCACCAAGTAAGACTCCGCGACGTCTCGAGAAAAACACTGCCGGCAGCACTTTCCAGAAGCCCTTAACACTGAACCCTGGGCCCCAACCCCTTTGCCAAAGACCCTCAGAACTACTATTCTCCCCCCCTTCCTCAAACAAAATAACCCTAATATCAAAACACCTATATTACCTTCTGCATTTCTGCCCTCATTAAGCCCCAAAGTCTCTAAGTAAGCCTCCACAAAACCCTAAACCCCGCTAAACCTTACACGCTAAACCCTAACCCTGAACCCTACACCCTAAACCCTACACCCCAAACCCCAAAAACCCTAAACTCCCCTACTCCCCACAGCCTACCCAGAGTCAGGCCCGTGCGGGCCAAACTCGGACAGGAAGGTGCCGGGGACGGCATCTGACGAGGAGCGCAAGGAATGAGTTTCATAGCGGAGTTGGCGCATCTTACGCCTCAGGGTCCTTGGTATGAGGGCTAGAGTGTAGGGATTTGGGTCGAAGGTTTCGGGTTAAGGAACTAGAAGGGCTTGGGGTTTGGGAGTTTAGGATTTCAAGTTTAAAGTTTAGGATTGTGTAGGGCTTTGGCTTTGGGGGTGTATCAGGAGATTTTTTTGTACCCTCAGGGCTTGTACCCTTGCATGGAATATGGCCCTTAATAAGGGTATTTGAAACCCAATGCCAAGGGTGACGAACATGAAGGTTGCAAACGTAAAGCCTTTGAGTGTAGGCCCTAAACCCTCAACCCTATACCCTAAACCCTAAAGCTAACCTCTTTGAGTGTAGGGCTTGAAGCTTGAAGCTCCAAATCCGGATCCTTTCTTCAAGGGGTGGAAGATTCAAGCCCCGTGTGCAGTGAGGCCCCGGTACCTTAGAATCCCCTACTGTGGAAGTTTGAAGTTTCAAAGAAGCCTAAAGCCTAAACCGCTCCAAAACCCGTACACCCGAAGCCACAAATCCTAAACCCTGGACTCTTAAGGTTTTAAGGCCCTTCTGAAACGCTTGCAAGAACCTCCAAAAAGAAGCCTTGAGCCCTGTTTCCTTGAGCCCTTAAACGACCCCGTCAAGGAACCCTGAAACCCCATGACCCCTAGAGCCTGAAAACCGTTAACCCGAAGACCCCTATGACAACCCAAAACCTAAACCCCAAAACCCCGATGACCCCTAAACCTCAAACTCCAAAACATGAAACCCCGGCGATCCCTAAACCCCAGAGACCCTAAAACCCCCATGACCCTTAAAAAGAAAGAAACTAAATGCTAAACCCTAAAACCTTGAACCGAACTTTAAACCCTAAACACTGAACCCTAAAGCCTAAACCAAAAAGCTTAAACCCTAAACAGTAAACCCTAAAACCTAAACCAAAAACCGTAGTCAAACCCCAAAGACTAAACCCTAAAACCTAAACCCCAAACCTAAAACCCTAGACACTAAACCCTAAAACTTAAATCAAAAGCTTAAACCTCAAACACTAAACCCTAAAGCCTAAACCAACAACCTTAAACCTCAAACACTAAACCCTAAAATCTCAACCAAAAACCTTAAACCATAAACACTAAACCCTGCAACCTAAACCAAAAACTTGAAACCCTAAACACTCAAGAGCAGGACAAATTGTCTGAGTTTCGCTTCGCATTGCATTTTCAGTAGTTTCGATCTCACTAAATGTGCGCGAAGAGATCCCAGCCCAATTCCAAGCCAATCTCCAAGCACCTCAGCCCCCCAGCCCCCAGCCCAGCCCCAACCCCAACCACCCCGAAAGTTTTTAAGTTCTCCCATTAGCAATCTCACAAACCCTTTTAGAAACCTTAAACCCCCTAAACCCTAAACCCCCTAAACCCTAAACCCCCTAAACCCCCTAAACCCCCTAAACCCCCTAAACCCCCTAAACCCCCTAAACCCCCTAAACCCCCTAAACCCCCTAAACCCCCTAAACCCCCTAAGCCATAAACCCTAAACCCGCTAAACCCCCTAAACCCCCTAAACCCCCTACCCCCTAAACCCCCTAAACCCCCTAAACCCCCTAAACCCCCTAAACCCCCTAAACCCCCTCAACCCCCTAAACCCCCTAAAACCCCCGAAACCCCTAAACCCCCTAAAACCCCCTAAACCCCCTAACCCCCTAAAAACCCTAACCCCCTAAACCCCCTAAACCCCCTAAACCCTGAACCCTGGGGCCTCCGTTCCTGGCAATCCCTTGGTCCCCTTAGTGCCCGGACGGCTTTGTCTCCGCCACTCTCTGAGCCCAAGGCACGCTGCAGAAGCACGGTGATGCAGCATTTAGGGCTTAGGGTCCGTCGTTAAGCCATATACCTGAAAACGTGCGAAGGATCCCTCTATGATTTGGGGTGGCGAAAAACCTCTACTGAAGCAATGTACCTTAGATCACATTGAGATTCCGCCACATGTTGACGCATGTGTGGCATAGGGCTTCACTCAGGGATTCTGGAGTTTCTGGGACTGGAACCAAAGAGATGCTCCTCAAAAGCTGAAGAGCGGCTTATTCTGACTGCAGGAATGCGAACATGCCTGAATGAAGGGCCTTGAGGCACTGAGCTTTCTAGACATGACTGCTTCATAGAACACTTGAAATTCGGCAATTAGCCGGGCAAAGCGCTCGGTTTCGGGATGTTTCGGGTATCGCTGGAGCCCCACCCCAACTCGAGGCACAGAGCGCATGACCATCTTTGGCGGTCTTCGGGAGGGTTTAGGGTTTAGGGTTAGAGTTTAGGGTATACCATCTTCAACACAACCTGCGACGGCGCTGGCACGAGCTTAACAACGAGTCTTACAGCCTTGCAGGATCCTCGCAAAGGGTCTTCAGGGTTTTTATAGTATTTAAGGTTTTTTAGGCTCTTTAGGCGCTATCTGAGGCTTTGGCGCTGAGTTAAGGTAGAATATAGGGGCCTTAATGATTAAGAGAGGGTTTGGGGCCGTACTTTACCTTACAATGATACAAGGCAACCCTAGGGAACAATATTGGTAGTTATTTGGGGAGTCCCCAGTATAGTACCCGAAATAGTAGGATCCTTGTTATAAGGACCCCAAAATAAGGTACCCCTCATTTTCGGAAACTCCCATTTAGGTCCTCTACATTTTAGCCTGAATCCTTCGGCACCCATGGCTCCTTTTCGAAGACATGCGAGCATTGACATCGGAACATGCAGACCGCTCCACATGGGTAGTTCTCGAATCGGGTCCCTTTTTAGCTCACCAAGAATAGCACCTTTTTTAAAAATGGATGCTACAAGGAACCCTAGTTTAGAGAACTACCAACATGAGAGTGCATCTGGGAGCCCCTAAATAAGCTGGCTCTTGCGGAGCTTCTGAAATGAGGTTTTCGAAGTCCGTTTTGCACTACCTCCTATTTCACATGCAAATCCTACTCAAAACCTGAAACGTCAAAACCAGATGTAAACCCCAAGACTCACCCCAAAATCCAGACAGGACTCTTGCGAAAGAACAGCCCTCAGATGAAGTACAAAAGCGCACCATGCTGTGGCGGCCCGGCATCGACAGCCACGGCTTTGGCGGGTCGTTGCTTTTCAGGGTTTAGGGTTTTGGAATTGGGGCTTCGGAGCTTAGAATCTAGGACGGAGGGGTGTAGAGAGTAACCCCCAAAATCCCCATCTAAAGAAGGAATCTCAAAATACAGGCGGGGTCCTTACTCTCAAAACCGGCAAGCAGGAAATAACAATTACTAAGAACCCCCTGACCCAACCCTTTTCAAACCGCAGAACACCATATGAAGGTTCTACTAAAGCGCTGCTCAGCCCTTTTAGGACCTATTGGAAACCGATGCAAACCGCATTGAAACCCTACAACTCGATGAAAAAGTTCAACAAACCGATTGGGATCCGGTAGAAAACCTCGAGAAACCCTACAACCTTGCTGGACTTATTGAACAAGTTCAATAAACCTGCAACTCTAAACTCTAAACCCTAAACCCTCAATCCAAAACACTGAGCTATGACCCCGATTATGGCCACTTAAACTAAATCCCATAACAGACCCCTGGTACGACTTCGGTCCGTTGCTTCGTTTGGGCGTGATGTCAGGACTCACCGAAGCCGTGCAGCCGCTCCCGCAGCCTCGGCAAGGGTTCAGGGTTCAGGGTTCAGGGTTTAGGGTTTGGGATTAGGGATTAGGGTTTAGGATAGGGGCCTTAAGAATTAGAACAGGGATCGGGGTCCATAAGGGATCTATAGTAGGGTTCTGTAAGGGGTGTATAGTAGGGTACTATAGTATAGGAGCCTTCATAATTAGAATAGGGTCCCTTTAAAGGGTTCCTTAAAGAACTCTGCAAGGGATGTATAGTAGCGTACTATAATATAGGGACCTTAATAACTAGAATAGGGCTGGGGTCCTTTAAAGGGCTCTATAAGCGATGTACAGTAGGGTTCTATAGTGGAGCTACAGACAATGGTCACATACGAGCCAAGCGTGAGCGTTATGCGCACAGATGATATGTGTGCGTGTGTTTGATGCGTATGTATATATATATATATATTTATTTATTTGTTTATAGTTTTATTTATAATTATAGATAGATAGATAGACAAATGGACAACTATATGGGTGTGTATATATGTTTTGTATGTGTATATATATATATATATACATACATACATAACAAATATGACAGCACATGTCCTTATTTCGTTGCTCTTATTTGCAGATTTCTTTCATTCATCTAGCTATATCTCTGTTTACGTGTCTGTTTGTATTTAGACTCGAGCTTCGAGGATCTCGATGCTGTACATATGCCACGGAACCCGTCTAGTACTGTCATCATCCAGGCCGCTACAAGACGACTTAGGGCTCAAGGTTTCGGCTCCTTGGGTCTGCGTGGCATGAGCTCTAAACCCAACACCTCAAGCTAACGAAGGAACTCGACCTAAACCCAGAGGTAAAACTCTACCTTATGGTCCAGGGCCTAGGGACCCCTATAGACCCTGGAACCTCCCGAACCCTAAATCCCCAACCCTAGACCCTAAAAGCCCTCTTCCGGGCCTAAAGCCCGATGCCCTGGGCCCACCCAGCCAACGACCAAAGTAGTCAATCCCAACCCCTGAGCCGTAACCTAGCGAAGGACCCATATCTCAACTCGCTTGGGGCCAAAGAACATACTAAATGAGGCTTTTGGCTCTTTTTTGCCTTGTGGTGACCATCCTCAACCACCTTCCCCCAAACCCCATATAACCCTTAAGGCAAGGTGGAACGCTGATACCCTGCAAAATCCCTCTCACCCTACCCCCAACCCAAAACCCTAAACTCAAAACCTCCCAAACCCCAAACCCCCAACCCTAAACTCCAAACCCTAAACCCTGAACTCCAAATCGAAAAGAATTACCAAAGCAGCCCCGCAGCCGACTTCTCCGATCGCGGCGTCCTGGGCTCCGGCTCCGTCCGTGGTCCTGTTCGGGGAGGGCATCAAGGGGGGTTATTGTAAGAGGATTCTGGCCGGTTCTGGTAAGGGTGCCGAGAAGGCTGCACAAGGGTTTTTAAGGAGGTAGGGATGCTACGTTCACTGTGGTTTGGGGTTGCAAAGTTGCATACAGGTTCGACATGGCTTCTCAAGGCTTGGGGCTCAAGGTTTCAATTCAAGGATTTGAAGGGTCCGAAAGCCTTGGGTTTCGGGGTCTCCGCTTGGTGTTTAGGAGGGTTTGAGGTGTAGGGCTTAGCGGTTTAGGGGCTTTTGGGCCTTTGGAGCTTAGAGCTTAGGGCCTCCAGCGCAGTGAACCCGAGAAAGCATCCGCCGCCTAAACCTTAAACCCCTAGGGTCCCGTTACCCTAAGCCCTAAACCCTAGACCCTAGGAACGCTGAAAGGAGCCCTTTAAAAGGGGAGTGACTCCGCAAAGCAGCCTACCAATTCAAGTCGCGAGACCACTCTGACCATCGAGAGACCCAGCTCACGGTTTAGGGTTTGGGGTTTAAGTTTAGGGTTTAGGGTTTAAGTTCAGGGTTTAGGGTTTAGGCATTACGGATTAGGTTTGAGCAAACCTCAATCAATGATGTCCTCGCCTCCTGGATGAAGGTTCATGGGTTGTTGCAGACAGTCACATGTCAAGGCCCGACCCTAAACTACAGCTTTAACCCCTTCCCTGAAACTCTAAGGACTCATCTTTTAAAGCGTTTGCGTCCAAAGACCATACTACGTAAGGCTTTCGGACTACGTTGATGCCCGAGGCTTAATCCCAGCTTCTAACTACCCATGACTTTTTCAATACTCAATGACACGAGTGTTTCTGGAACCCGGAGACCTCGGCGTGGGCCACCGGTTCTGAGGGCGCCGGAACCTGTCTAACCCACGGACGACACGGGTTTTGTGAGGGGTGCCTTCTTTGGGGAAAATTGTACATAAAACTAGAGAGGAGCTGCGACATGGTAAATTTTGGCATCTATTTTAAGCCCCTATAGTATTCCTTAAACCACCGGAAGAAACCCCTTGGCCCATTGGGCCATAGCCTGATCTCTGCTTGAGAGGGTGTTCGTTCAGAGCTTGGTGCGTTAGGGTTTCGAGTTGAGGATAGAGGGCTTAGTCTTTGACTCCTCTTTCCCCAAACTGCTGCATCTGAACCTAAGACTGCCCAAACATCCGCCGAAGACTAGGTTCAGGGATGTCTAGATCTGGCTTGCAGTTTAGAGTCTTGGGGTTGGCTTACAGTTGGTTGAAAGCAGCAGCTGCAGCAACAGCACCCTCGATCCAGGACCCTCAACCTCAAAGCCTACACAGCGAAAACACCTCAAACGCCTCAAGCCCTCGAGAACCCTTAATGGATTCGTTTAAAAACCTTTTGTTTACTTGTGCGAACCGTTCATGAAGCTTGACCACCTCCGGCTCAGGTTCCGCGGCATCCGCAAAGTGCACACGCTTGGCCCTGCCATTCAGTCCGGTTTGACCCTAAACCCTAAACCTGCGTTGGTCGGACTCACTCTGAGTGCACAGTGCATGCCATGTCCAGCAAAACTGAAAGACCTGGTTGACTAAGGCCTACGTTTTGGGGTTTGCAGACTTCGAGCTGGGGAGGTGGGATTTCAGATTTAGGATTGTAGTTTCACAATGGTTTCATAAGAGTTGCGACACGTCCACACTTACTACGCAATGGTAGAAGCAGCAAGACAAGCTGGTAACTGGTCACAGTACTATTCTTGTCGCTCGTTTTATCATTCTGTCACCACTAGTTGGGCAGCAGGCATCTATTGGAAAGGTGCGGAAAACACAGATTGGGATAGATGCACAAAACACAAAAAGGAAAGCCGCCTCACAAACCACACACAAAATGTAAAAACCCTGTCAAACTTGTTCTTCGAAGCTCCTTATGAAAACTTATCAGAAAAACAAAGCTACCCTAGATACTCCAACCTTGCACAGGACTCCGGTCCCCGAAGTGCCGGACGAAGTAGCCTCAGCTGGACGACCGGGCTGAGCCGTGGGGTGTAGGGTCTGGGGCTTAGGGTTTAGGGCCTCGGGGCTTTCGGGCTTCGGGGCTTAAGGCCTTTCGCGGTTCCATAGCTGTGCGAAAAAAGGATTTTCGGTTCAATCTATGGACTTTCACACTTCCGGGTGCCTTATTCCTCTAAGCCTTCCACTAAGGGAGTGTACGGTGTATAAGGTTCTAGAAAAAACTTAAGGAGAGCTGACGTAGGAGTTTAAGGGTTTTGGGATGTTAAGGTCTACGTTTTGGTGCGCTGAGGCTTTACGGCGTTTCGAAATTAGAGCTTTTTGGAGGTGAGGTTAAGGCCTTGGGGTTTACGGTTTATTGCACAAGTCATAGGGACGTCACAGCTCCAGTGCCGAGAGGGGGGAGCAAGGCATGGAACCCCCCGAAAGAAGGCACCGCACATGTTGCTTTGAGAGCTCACACGCCCTGCAAATGCCAAGTACAGCCCCTAGCGAGCCCCAATGAAACCCAATCAAAGCCCACGCCCAGCCCACGCCCAGCCCACGCCCATGAACCTTTCAAGCCGCAAAGCAAAGACCCTGCAGAACTCCTGTGATTTTGTGCTTCAAACAACCTCAAGAACAAAGGCAAACACAATCAGAACTCTCCCTAAATCCTCAACCCCCTGAACCCTTCTTCCCCTTCTTAACCCTCGAAACCCCAAACCCTGTAAACCCTAAAGTAAAAGCCAGAAAGTTGGAATATCATTATCGTAACCCCTTTAAGGCAAATTATAGGGGATCCTACCATCAATCCATATTCCAACTTTCTGGAGTTCCCTTTAAAGCCACTCAAACTGCAGAGCCCGGGAGCTTCGAGCTTTCGGATCTGGCTCGCAGACGGAGCCCCGGACTCTCTGCCCGGTGGTTGGTGAGCGAGCCTTTCAGGGATCCCTTAAGCTAAGACTAAGAGTAACCTAGGAATAAAAAGGGTGCCCTTTTTGGTTTAAAGAGGGTTATAAGGGAACCTAAACCCTCAAAAAAGGGAATAAGGGCCTACTTTGGGTCCTAGTAAGGGTTCCTGTAAAGGGATCCTTCTAACGGTTCCTATACGGGTTGCTGTAAGAGACCCTGATTGGGGGTTCCTTTAACACCGTGCATTTGAGGGTTTCCGGTTTAATAACTGGGGTTTAAAATTTGGGGGTGTTGAGGGTTTAGGCTATAGGGCTTAGGATTTAGAGTTGAAATCACGCAAGGCTTCAGTGAAGCGACTCCAAAGAACGCTTGAGGATCCGGGATTGCGGAGACACCTCAAGCCCACCGGCCGAAATCCGTAAACCCGAAACCTGAACCTCAAACCTAAAGCCCAAAACCCTAAAGCCCAAAACCCCTAAAGCCTAAACTCTAAAGCCTAAACCCGGATAAACCCTAAACCGCGGCACACCTCAACTCCAACAGCTCTGAGTGCCCTGGAAACCCTGAATCTTTCAGCTCCGATGCTCCAAGCGTGCGCCCGATTCCCGATATGGGTCTCGGGTTGAGGATGTGAGTGTTTTGGTGTTTAGGGCTTCCTTACGTACAACAGCTCTGCTCCGGAAATGCACGGTTTAGGGTCTAGGGTTTAGGGTTTAGGGTTTAGGGAGGGTGTCGGGCTAATGGCTTTGAAGTTGCGTTTTGAAGCTACGCGCAAGGGTTCGGATTTTGGGCAAAGGCGTGTAGTTTAGGGGGTTCACAGTTTACAGTCTAGGTCTACAAAGCCAACCCGAATCCTTCCAAATTAAGAAGGCAGTGCAAACAGCGCCCGAGGATCCCACTTCGGGCCTGCACCCCGTCACCTGAACCCTAAACTCCAAACCCTAGGCCCTAAACCCCAAACTCTGAACCCTAAACCCTAAACTCTTTCCCCTAAGCCATGAAACCCTGGTCCCCAAGCTCTGACCTCCCAAACCTAAACCCTGAACCTTATACCCTGAACAACCCCAAGCCAAACCCCCTCTAAACCCTGAAACTTGAACCCTGATCCCTACCTAGGCTATGTAGTGCCTGAAAGCCCTCCACCCTAAACCCTAAACCCTACACCCTAAACCCTTAAACCCTTAAACCCTAAACCCTAAACCCTAAACCCTAAACCCTTAAACCCTAAACCCTAAACCCTCAACCCTAAGCCCCAAGCCCAACCAGCCCCTCAAAGCTCCCAGTCCGGCCAAGACCATCCGTCAGCAGCGCCCCAAGTGTCACAGCAGCGGCTTCTGCAGCCTTGACTGCAGGAGGTCGTGGTTGAGGGTTTAGGGTTTAGGGTTCAGGGTTTAGGGTTTTGGGTTTTGGGTTTAGGGTTTAGGGTTTTGGGTCTACCCCATGCATTTTTTGTTTGGGGTGTGGGGCTCAAGGTCGGGTTTGGGGGGCTAGCATCGCACCAATCCCAAACTGACCCTCACAATTCATCTTACCATTCTTTGGGGCCGAAGAAGGTCTTTCTCAAAGACTTCAGTTTTTCCGTCCGTCAACGGCTCCGGGCTCGGCTGACCCCCAGAGTCAGGCCAGACCCTGAACATAAGCCACGCCGAGAACCCAACATCTCCAAAACCCTCAAGCACCTTAAGGTAAAAGCCAGAAAGTTGGAATATGATTATCCTAAACCCTTTAAGGTAAATTATAAGGGATCCTACCATTAATCCATATTGGAATATGATTATCTTAAACACTTTATGGTAAATTATAGGGTATCCTACCCTGAAACCATATTCCAACTTTCTGGAGTTCCCTTTAAACCCTAAATCCATCCTAAGCGCGACACCCGAGCTTTGTGCTTTAGGGTTTAATGCTTCAGGACCTTGGGGTTCACGGCTTGGGGTGAAGAGTCCCCCAAAACAGCCAAGACGCACAGAAACCCGAAAGGCGTTGGGTTTGATTTTTCTCTTGTGTTTCGGCATGAAAAGCTTGTCAAGGTCTGGGGCTTAGAGTTTAGAGCTTAGGGTTGTTTCTTGGTTTTCGGTTTTTTGCTTAGGGCTTAGGGCTGTTAGCAGGGCTGTAAGCACTTTAGGTGGACATAGCTTTTCAAAATAATTTTGACCGGGGTGTGGTGCCAAGACTTCGAAGCCTTCAAATGGAAGGAATCAGAACTTTGGGGGTTGGGGGCTCAGGGATCTGACGCCTCAAGCGGAAGATAATCGAAACTAGACCCTAACCGCTAAAATCCTAACCAGTTGTTCGTCGAACCCTGCTCTTGCAGCCTGAAACTCCCGTGAACTGGAAACCTTCGACTTCCTAAGCCCTTTTAGGTTTGGTGTCAGGGCTTTAAGGCTTAGAGCTCAGGGCTTGGGAACTCAAGGCTTCAGTTTTCGGGTTCGGGGTTCGGGGATTAGGGTTCGGAGATTTAGCGCGATACCTGGGACTTCGGTGTTGGCCGGGCCACTTTGGCGAGCACGCACTGCCACTCCCAGGGTGCCGAGAGCTGTTCGGAATGCGCTGGGGCCTTGTGCAGTCGGTGGGCTCGTCCGGTTGGCACCAGGATTGAAGTTCAGGGCTTGGGGCTTCTAGGCTGTTGGGTTAAGGGTTTAGGGTCTAGGAGTTTAAGATTTAGGGTGCAGGGTTTGCAGGTTAGGGTTCGCCCACATAGAAACAGGCGCAACACAACACTTTGATGACGTTTGCGATGGTAAGTAAGACCATGACTCATCATCGCCAAATATCTGCTGTCGCTGTCCTTCTCGTCACCGAGGTAATCACGAATACGCTGACGGTAGTGGTACAACCAGCAGAATTATCGGTCATCATCCTAACTTAGACCCCAAAACCCTAAATTCTGGGCCATGCCTGGTTTCCCGAAAGCCGACGGAGCTCCCCGACCCCAAACTCTAACCCCTTCAGCCTAGGAGCCGCGGCAACATGAAAGCCTCAGGATACTCACCGGCTTCAGTATTTTCTACTTGGAGGTTCATGGGTTATACGTCCCCTAATAAGGGTTATAAGTATAGGTATCTTACTTATAATCCCACTTATAACTACCTATGAACCTCCAGGTATAGATACAGAAAGCCCCATGCGAAACGGCTTAAAACCTTAGCCTTAGACTTTCTAGCATGCGCAAAGCTAAACCTTCTGCGTATTCAATCCTGTGCTTTGCCCGAATGCCCCTATCTCATGCCCATAACTCTCCAAAACCCGAACCCTGAAACCCAAAAACCTAAACCCTAAACCGTGGTCCTGGACGTAGACACTGGTGGAAGCCGGCTTCTCACCTGACCCAAAGCCCAACACCGCTTAAATTGAGAAAGATTCCTGAAATTACACAGGGGGCTCTCATTCTGAATTCCACTCCTCAGCGCAGCTGCTAAGCTTATGGTCCCGATAGTTGGTACCTAGAGGGCTTTGGGTTTAAGGCTTGGGACTTTGGGCTCAAGGTCTGCTTAATTCTTGGGGGGCTAGGGCCACGCGATGCAAACGCACGACCACCCCATGCAACCTTAAGCCTTGAAAGCCCATGCCCCAAACCCTAAACCCCAAACCCGAAACCCCGAAACCCCTAAGCCCCTAGCCCCTAGCTCTGAACCGTCCGGACGCCAGTTTGCACACTCTCTGCCTCAAGAGTCTCAAGGCCCGATCTTCTAGAGATTTCAGTGCTCCGTCGGAAAGGATACTGCTGATGGCTCTACATTATCCTTAGTCACCTTAGTTCTTCAATGATTATTCAAGGATCGTATGGGTTTTCACGTCTGATAGCCATCATTCCATGTTGGCTCTCTGGCGGTATTCAATCAGTATTATGGCTCGCCTATCGAGGTTGCTGCTTTCTTGCCAGTCTTGTGAAAAGGTTGTTGTCCGGAATGCTCTTGTGGTACCAAGTACGGATAATAGTGATAAGCTCAACAGTAAGGGCAACAATGAGAGCTATGATTGCATAGTTACACCCAAAAGCAGTGCCAGTCCTCCACAGGCCCCTTTAGTGTGGCTGAAGGCTACAGGGGGTGTGGGTGCAGGGTTCAGGATTTGTTGAGTTATGCTCCTGTCGCCACTCAAACCAGTCCAAGCCACTACCTTCGTCTCAAACCCACAATTGAAAAGTGTCTTGCTTTCTTGTCTTATCACAAACATGTGTCGTCTTTGCATCTCAAACCCATAACCAAATAGCCTTTATCGCCAAGGGGCTTAGGGTCCAGGGCATCCAGGTTAAGTCAAACCACGTCTCCCCAACCCCTGAGCATACTGGCCCTACGTAGACATGGTTGAAACTCGTAATAGCAAATACGAAGAGGAGCCCCCCAGATTGCAATGAACCCAGAGAGGCCACGGCCCTGAAGCCTTCCGTCCTGAAAAGTCGTACAGTAGACCCTAAACCACCACCTGCAGTGAGACGTCCACGACCGCCCATGGCGGGCTTCACCTCAGCCCGATCCCAGCCACGTGGCATTGTGGCTTAACCAGGGGTTTGACTACGTTCAAGATGCGAGGCATGTTGAACTGATAAAATTTTCTGGTGTCAAAGCTAGAAAATGCGAGGATTACCGTCCGGAACCCCCGTCAAGAACAAGATCAGGCTCTTACTCAGGTTCTCCGGTTAAAGCTCAAGATTCATAAACCATGCAAAATCTGATCTCCTCCAAACCTGCAATACTGTCGAACACAGGGAGGGGGATTGTCGAGCCGGCTTCGTGGGTTCGGGGTGTAGAGTCTATTCAGGTGTACAGAAAGGCCCTGCGATAAAACCAGGAAATAAAGCCAAATCTGCAAAAAGTGGAAGCGCCCTGAACCCACCTGAATTCTCGTAAAAGCCGCCATCTAGGGCAATCAGGACCACTGAACGCAGAATCTCAATAGATGCTTAAAATTACCGCAAACTAATGGTGCCAATGGTGACCCCTATTTGGAAGGCATCTTTGCGAAGCCAACCATACACAACCCCGACAAGCCAGGGCAAAGGGAGTGGAAGAAGAAGCAAAAGAAGAAACGCTCAAAGCTCAGGGCACCCTAAACACAACCCTCAAGCCCTGAAGAGTTGAGGGCCAAGGAGCTGTGGCCTTCCAGTCCAGCAGACCATGCCCGGCTTCTTCACTGGGCAACAGTCGGGTTTAGGGTTTGGGGTTCAGGGTTTAGGTTTAAAAGGGCTTAGGGTTCAAGGTTAGGATTCAGGGTTTAGGGTTTAGAAGGGTTTTGGGTCCAGCGGGGTTTAGGTCTACCGGATTAGATTTAGCGTCTAGGATCTGGGGGGTTTAGGGTTTAGGGTGGATGGATATCGAAGCCGGTTCTCAAGACACATACACAAGTGCGTATGCATGCGTACATGCTGGCATATAGAGCTGTACATGTCTGTATAGAAGCATGATACATGCACCATCACATATATGCACGAGAAACGACAATGACATTCACGTGTTGGTATGAAAAGCTATGTCCGTGCGGACAAGCACCAGGAAACAGTAATTCAACACAGCATCCTCCACACTCCTAAATCGACATGTCTTTGAGGACCCCGGCATGCACGCAGGGATGCCACAATGAAGGCTCACTCTGAATACAACGAAACTTTTTTGGTTAAGCAAACAGGATTTAATGTGGGAGCCTGTTCACGAAACCCCTCGAGGTCTTAACTCATCCTATTTCTATGGAGATTTAGAACCCTGGGTGTTTTCATACGGTTCCTGCATGACGACGGGATGAAGCTGCCAGGCTCCGAAGGTTTGCCGTCATGGTACGAGTTTACTTGCCCATCCCATAGTATGATAAGAAAAGTATAAGAAAAAGGCCCAAAAAGTTCAGGTCCCAGCGAAGTCCCAACCAGTTACCCTTTAGGGTCCAGGGTTTAGAGTTTAGGGTTTACCTGGGTCCAATCTGTACAGTTTGTCTACCAGCGCCTGAAATATGAAGCGAAGGCCAAAATTCGTGACCATGAGCAGCCCTGAATCCTTGCCTCTTTGAGTTGACCATAAGCATTGGCAGCTAGGCCTCTAGAGCATTCGGCTACCGACTTTAGAGACACCTGGAAAAAACAAACGAGCAAAAATCACGAACAGCATTTAGAAACATCAGCGGCTGAGCTATTTGCATGGCCAACGACGCCAAGACACGCATTACAAGCATCCGTAGCTGGAGACCTTTAAAATCACCTGGCCCCCTCAGCCGCCTCAGCAGGCATCATGAGCATCAGCGGCCGGCATCATGAGCACCAGCGATGCCAAGTCAAACATCATGAGCATCAGCTCTTCCCTGGTAACTGCTCGGGTGAGCAGCTTATGCAACAAAGGTTGCAGGCCACAGCGCCCTGACATCATGAGCATCAGCCGCCAATGACTTTACAGTCACCCGGACTGACCACAACTGAAGCGCGCATCATGAGCATCAGCGGCCGGTATTGGAACCAGGACCGTTTTTTCGAAACTCTTCACCTGGCACTAGTCCTTTGTCCCGGCCGGCCACTTAGTTTAGTTTCGTTGCCACATTGTGAAGTCCAGGCCCGCTGTACGGCTTGCGTGGGAAATACGTGCTCAAAGCCGCGGCACACATTCATTGCAGAGTTTTTGAAACCCTAAACCCTAAACCCTTTTGGTTCCAGGTTAGCAATGTCGGTGTTCACGGACAAACCTTTCTGCGGTCGAAGGGGCTGGTCGTTGGCGCGAACCTCCTGCAAGCTCAACAGAAACCTAGGAAACCCTAAAGCCTAAACTTGCAAGCCGAAGCCACGAGTTTAGGGCTTTGGCTTCGGCTGCCCTTCTGAGAAGCCACTCCACAAAAATCAAGGAGGGATCCTTAAGAGGGTGTCTCCTGATTTCCAGAAGAGCTTGAGGGCAAGAGCTGAGCCGGCCCTCTGTCGGTCCTTGTCGTAGAGTTCCAGCAGCCGGCCTTTGGGCAGTCTATGGTTAGGGACCTTGGTAATTAGAATAGGGTTTTGGGGGCCATTATACTGTAACAAAAAGAAGGAACCCCAGAATAGTATTGGCAATTATTTAAGCCCCTAGAGTAGGCTATCGAGGCATTGGGGGCTTGGTTTTTCGGGGTTTCCGGCTTGGGGTGCGGGGTGAAGAGTTTACGGGTTCCAGGGAAGGGCTTCTTGCTTTCAAGGGCTTGCGAGCTTTGGGACAATCCGACGGTGGGTTTCGGGTTCAGGGCATTGGTGTCCTCTGCCAAAAGCCCGAACCCTGAATGAACCCTGAACCCGGAATCCTAAATCCCTAAACACTGAACGTAAGAACCCTAACCCAAAGCTCCTCGAAGCAACTTCGGTCTCAAGTGCCCCTCTCGGGGCGTAGGCTTCGGCTTCGGGTAACACACTTTTGACTTGAGCCCTTTCTATGGGGGGAGTCTGCTGAGGTCAGAGAACAGTTGATTGTGGATGATTGTAGCATGGACTATCCGGGAGCCGGACAAGAAACGGCAAATCGAAGATCGAACCGTGACGACCCTAGTCCCAAACCCTGAACCAGGACCCGAACGAATGAAAGTGTGCTTCAAAGTATCCAACAGATGGACAGCGTGAGAAAGGCCCTCTCTTAACCCACATGTTGCCGGCATTCTTTTTTCAGAGAGACAGGGGCTCTAGATGTTAGGGTTGAGGGCTTTAGGGTCGAGGGGTACATTACGTTAGTATAACTACAGTCTTAGCCTCAATCCATATTAGCGGCCATCTTTTTTTCGGAGGTGGGTTTCCAAAACGATCAGTGTCTTGTAAAGGGTTTGGGCTGGTTATCATCTTAGACGTATGGCAGGCAGTACAACCCGAACCCTTTCTCATTGTTCAGGCCCAACTACTGACATTCTCTTGGGCTAGCTTTACACAAACATCAAGAGTACCGACGGCACGACCGAAGCCTCTTGCATCCTGGGCTCTGGGATACCATGAACCCTACAACCTAAACCCTACCACAACAACACGATCACAATATCCCAAGAACCCGTACTACAATGACCATAATGATACGGTAACACCCAAAATAATAACGATACCAGTAATGGTATACCCCATTATACCCCCAAAACCCTGAACCCCAAACCAAACTTCAATCTGCAGAGAAGATCGCACCAGAACTCCGTTCGGTTTCGGGTGTGTTCAGGAACCCCCACAGATTCCCCTATGTAAGGACCCCTGAAGCCCGAAGCTCGTCTAACTGACGCATCCGCGCCTTTCTTTTCGTTTTGGCTTAGCGGCCAATCCAATGAGTGGCTCCTGCGCTCAGGGAGGACGATCTTTAGCATGAAGGCTTCCGTGATTCAGGATTCAAAGGTCCCGACGTGTAAGGCTGCAGGTGTTTTAGGCGTGCCGTCTGAGCTTGCGCAACTTCCGGAATAACACCAAGCCGTGAGCCGCCTAGACCCTAAATCCTATCGTACACCCGACGTCCTAAACCTTGAATCCTTAAAACCTGCAACCAAATCGCAACAGCTCCATCCACCAACCTTCCGCCCAAAAGCCCAGCCCTTTCAGCCTGAACCCTGACTAAACTCTAACTCTAACCATACTATGCCATACAAGATTCACCCTTTTTTCACGCTCCTCACTATGGTGTTTCCTTTACTACATCGTGAAAACGGCCGGTTGTCTGGGGTGAAGGTGAGACCTAAAGCTTTCTGAAAGATTACAGGGTGCGAGGGGAGTTTGGAATCAAGATTTCCCAAACTGAAGATTTTTTTGTTGTACCTCGGTTCAGGGCTTAGGATTTAGGGTTTTAGGGTTCTGGGGTCCCCTTTTTTCGGTGTATCGATAATGCGGGTTTTAATTAAGGGGTACTTTGGGCTCCCGCTTGCTCCTTCCGAAGCTCTACATCCGACGCCTCCATCCGAATAACCCGCCCCGTCGCGCAGCCCCGAACTTCAAACCATTCAAACGGTTTAGGGTTTAGGGTTTAGGGTGCCCGAACTCCTTTGAAGCTCCAAAGATTCTGAGATCCTCCGCATAGACGCCAGCAGCCACGGCCCTACATCGCCCGCAGGAGAGCGCCGGCCGGGCCGTCGAGATAACTTCTTATGATGTTCACCTACCAGTACTGGAACATTAGCCTCCACTGGTCGCTCCACGAGCTGATCCCACAAGTGCTCACAGGCATGTCAGAATGACTTTCTTGCAAGTACCAAGGTTGAGCTTCAGAGTCGCAGAATCAGCCGCACATCTACCTCTGTCCAAAGAGTCTAAGGCCAGGGGCGTTTAAAACAGCCGGTGCAGTCAGCAAAACTGTGATCTAAAAGCGCATTACCACTGCGGTTTTAGAACCAAGCGATGATTAAAGAGCATGTCAGAATGCAAGAAGCCAGAACAATAAGCTAGACATAACAGCTGCTCCGTTGCTGGTGGTAATTCTAGACTAGGACGGAAGCACCGCAAATCAAGCAGACATAACAGCCCGAATCTCCTTACACTTTCGAATGTAACTAGCTATGAACCTCTAACAAGATTCGATGGCGAATTGGAAGATCCTGCCCGACAGAACAATCAGAGCATTGCAACCGCTGCTGTCCGAGTCCCTCAACTCAAACTTAAACCTGAAACCCTGAACCTTCGCCGCTCGTAAAGTGAAAGAAGATACTACAGCAACCAATGTGTCTATAACACCTCTTCTGCAAGAGCTAAGGACTTGAAGAAGCTGCAGGAGGCATGAGCCTATGGCATCTGCTGAACTGTTACCGGCCCGGAAACAAACAGACAAAGACCCTCGCCCTGCTCCCGATCTTTGCTCCCATCCGCGCTTGCAAGTCTTTGACCCCATCATGGCACGAAGAAGCATCTCCAGCCATGATGTTCCATGTGTTTCGTGCTCCTCGAGCACAGCTTCGCCGCGCTCTGCCACTTGGGAGTTTCGACCTTCGGCCTCGGCCTCTGAAGAGCTCGGAACAAAAGAAATGTTCCAGAATGCCTGTTATGCTATGTATATAAACATATACATATATATATATATACATATATATATATATATATGCTCACGCCCCCCCCCCCCCCCCCATGATCCACCCGAACCTGCTTCTTGCAAACAGTGGATCATGGGAGGTGGGCAACTTCGGGTGCGAAAACACTGCCAGGCACCAATTTCCCCAAAGCTTGCAAAGCTGGAAGTGCGAAAACATCGACAGGCACCAAATTCCCCAAAATCCCCAAACTCTGGGCAACTATGGCCCGGCACGCCTCATAGATGCCGGGATTTTGTGGATTTGGGGGAAATTGGAGCATAGCGAGGTTTTGGCACTTCCAGCCTCACAAACTTTGGGGAAATTGGTGCCTGGCGGTGTTTTGGCAACCTCGGATGCGAAAACACTGCCAGGCACCAATTTCCCCAAAGTTTGCAAAGGCGGAAGTGCGAAAACATCGACAGGCACCAATTTCCCCAAAAATCCCAAACTCTGAGCAACTATGGCCCGGCACGCCTCATAGATGCCGGGAATTTGGGGATTTTGGGGAAATTGGAGCATAGCGAGGTTTTGGCACTTCCAGCCTCACAAACTTTGGGGAGATTGGTGCCTGGCGGTGTTTTGGCAACCTCGGATGCGAAAACACCGCCAGGCACCAATTTCCCCAAAATTCATACAGCTGAACTCTGACGGCCTCCATAGATGCCTGGATTTTGGTGATTTTAGGGAAATTGGTGCCTGAGACGAGGAAGGCCAAGTTTTGACTTGAACAGCAAGAGCTGATACGAAGCAGTGGACCAAGAGCTTGGCAGCAGAACCAGAATCCAAAACCAGAATCTGGTTTCGGTTTTGGCTTGTTTGTATATGATATAAAAGGCGAAAAGCAGCATCTGTACATGTACATGAAGTGCAGAAAACACCGTAAATACCGATCGATTCTAACTTTAGCAGTACGCATCTTGTACCAGAAGACACTGCAGGAGTAGTTGAGGAGAAGACTGGGGTGGATCATGGGGGGGTGTGACCATATATATATATATATATATATATATACATATATATATATATATATACATGTGTATATATATATATATGCACAGCATATTTGTTGTATTATACTGTATCAGATTCCGCTATTTGAAAAACGGGAGGCTTCGCGTTCCTGTGGTCGGCAGCTCTGGGTTTATGAAACGACACTCCGTGCCTCACATCGAGCTGTCAATCTTCGAGTTCGGAGGCCAGGTCTCTGGAAGCTCCATGTTTTTGGGAAGACCCCCTGCCCCTCCGAAGAAGGCTCCGGATAAGTGCCGGTTAAATCTGCCCACGGCCCTCCTTGCTGCCATCAGCGAATATGGTACACGGAGAGAAAACCCCTGCTCAGAAATCTCCACGACTGTCAAAACAACTCTCGAGCGCAGATATGTGCGGTCCCTCGCACAACTAGTGCAGCATCGCATCGAGAAATCCTGAAAACACAACATAAGCTCACCCATTGTAGGTCGGAACATAATGCCCACAAGGTCCTGCAGGACGTCCTAACTAGAAGGACCCAGCCCGAGCTTTGAGCCAGTTGTATGGGTGTACAGTAGGTTAGAGTAATTAGGGTTTGAGCATCAACTTCGAGTCAACTTCGAGCCTAACCGGCCTAGCTTCAAGTATGCAAGAAGGGCAAGGGAAACACGGCCAACGCCGTGCCTGCAAAAAGCAGACCTATCCGCCTGCCACAACATCGCTGCCTCCAATAGGAGTCTATTGCAGATGAGGGCGACGAGATTTTGAGCCCTCCATCGAAAGGGACCAAAGGCTTCTGGACTCCATCGCATGGCTTTGCCATGCGTTCTTGTCGCCCGGGAGTTCCGAACTTCGGCCTCGAGGTCCTACGGAATTCAGTAAAAAATAGGGCTTCTTGCTGTAGGATTAGGGTTTAGGGTTTAGGGTTTAGGGTTTAGGAGTCTGCTCACGTGGAATGGTCGAACTGTCGCGCTCGGAGGCCAAATCTCTGGAAGCTCCCATGTAAAACAAAAAAAGGGACAACCCTCTGCCCCTAGGAAGAGGGTTCCGGATAAGCTCCGGCTAAATCTACCCACGGCCCTCGGGCCATACGACACAAAGAAGCAAAGCACATGCGTGGAGCAAGAGCACTTGAAAAAAGTCGAAAGCATATCGAAACAATCAAGCACCTACGTGCACGCTTGCGGTGTGCCTCTTTACCTTCAACTCTCCCGGGATCCCGGAGCCAGGCCCAAAGGTCCCGGGACTGTCCAGGAGTGCAGCTCCAACAGCCTCGGAGTTCGTTCCTCAGCCTCGGCTCTTTAAGCGAAGAAGCCCCAGGGAGTTCCAGAGAATTGGGGACCCTGCTAGAAAACCCCAAGGCTGGGATCAGGGCGGAGTTCAAACGTTTGAGAGTCCCATGATCGCACAGAGCCTCATGCTGCTGCTTTGACAATCGGAACAGCACGCTGCTGCACCATGGCCCCTCTCTTCACCAGAACCTTCTGCAGTGTTGGCAATTTGGAACTGCCTTCTTAAGGAAACCGGAAAGCCTACTAGCGTCCTTGTTAATGGCTTTGGAGAGAATCGCATCCAAAGTTCGTGCAGAGAGAGATATGCCAGATGTACCGAGAACTGCCTGAGAATTTCACTGAAACACCCGATCCACGAACACCCCGCAGGATCGAGCATTGGTTCTATTTAACCGCCTGGAGTACGTGTGCCGACCGAGCCACGGCTCCAGGGCGAGGTCCAAAAGCTGGCGACAGTTGTGGCCTGACCGCCTGCGACGCATATCCATACATATGTTTATTTGGGCAGCTGCTTTGTGCAGCCATCAGACCAAGACATGAGCTGCTGTGCGAACGGCGAGTTCGTCGCACTGTGGAATGCTTATCTGATCGAGGCGACGGCCGGGAATCGTGAAACCTGTGATGCCTCTTCGTCCCCCTCATAATCTGCCTTTTGTCTATCCGATCGACGTGACAGCCCTGGGTCGTGAAACCCACGGCTTCCGTCCTCTCACATTCCCCTCATAATATGAGTCTTCCCTCACTTCGGTTTCCTCTCACACCCCACCTACGTTTCGTCTTCCGTCCTCGCGGACGGATCGGCTCACGAGACCGAGGAAGCCGGGGCCGCCACTCAGAAGCCGCACGCATTCGCCGCAAGTGATCAGTTTCGCATAATCCAGCGCCGTGCAGCCTCGGCTTTTGCCGGAGCTTCGCTGCTCGGCTGCTCGCGCTGAAGTCGGCAGCTGCTCGGAGCTCTGGAACTTCGCTACGAGGCAGTTAAATGCGTCCACGCGCAGGGCCAAGGCCGGGGCCGCAGTCGTCTTTCAGCTCCTGGCGCATGGGACATGAACGTTGCAGGTGCCACCTTGCTGCGCCTTCCAATATGGCTCCGGAACCCTAAGCCCCGCCTTGTCGGCGCCCTTCGCCAGGAGCTCCTTCACGACGTCAGCGCGGCCGTTGGATGCCGCGCACATGAGGGCTGTCCGGCCTCGGAGTCGGAATCATCATCGTCGAACGCACAAACATTCTGAAACAGGGCCGGTCGACGCTGCTGTCCCAAAATTTGCCCCCCAGTGGGCGTTTGGCTTTGACTGCCCTCTCGCTACGAGACGATGGCTAATTATTGCCCCGAAGCGTCAAAGCCACCCGAGGCTGCGGCCGTCTTTGTCCTGGGCCTCCTGTGCAGGGATGCTGTAAAGTTCCTACAAAGGCCGCCGAATGACCAGACTATCCCAGCCCTGAGCGCACGCACTGTGTGGCACATGCCCGACCTAGACCAAAGGATTTCTCCTCACTCATTAAAAATCATTAAATAAGACCTCGGGTGCTCTTAGCCCCCTATGGAATTGCCAGCGCCCCATGGCTGCAGAAGCCCCGCCTTGTCGGCGCCCTTCGCCAGGAGCTCTTTCACGACGTCAGCGTGGCCTCTGCCGGCCGCCATCATTAGGACTGTTGAGCCTCGGAGTCGGAATCATCATCGTCGACGAGAGCACGAGCACTCTGAAACAGGGTCGGTCGACGCTGCCGTCCCAAGGTTTGCTCCGAAGGGGGGGCCTTGGACTTTGACCGCCCACTCGCGGTGAGGCGAAGGCCATTGCCCCGAAGCGTCAAAGCCACCCGAGGCTGCGGCTGGAGTGGCTCGCAGCATCCTGCAAAAGGAAGCCGAGCTTTGCGCTGTAAAAGACCGCCGATTGACCAGACTATCCCAGCCCTGAGCACACGCACTGTGTGGCACATGCCCGACCTAGACCAAAGGATTTCTCCTCACTCAGTAAATAAGACCTCGGGTGCTGTAAGCCCCTGGCGGACCGCACCGTGGATGGGACATGTAATTGCCAGCGCCCCATGGCTGCAGAAGCCCCGCCTTGTTGGCGCCCTTCGCCAGGAGCTCCTTCACGACATCGGCGTGGCCATGCTCTGCCGCAATCATGAGGGCTGTCTGGCCTCGGACTCGGAATCATCATCATCGTCCAAAAGCATCCCAAGGTTTGCTCCGAATGGGGGTTTTAGGCTTTGACCGCCCTCTCGCTGTGAGGCGAAGGCCGCGGCCACGTGTGCTACCCGAGGCTTCGGCCGTACTTTTCCCGGACATCCTGCGTGGGACACGCAGTTAGAAGGTCATGAAAACAACAAAATGCTGAGGCAACCCGGAAAACTTCGCATTCGGGCAATCACCGATTGTAGCCAGCGACACGTTACGACTCGTAGCAGCTACTTCCGTTCCTGGAGGAGCCGTTTTACATCAGAGAAGACTTGCAATCCCCGCGCTTCCCAGGCTGAGGATGTTAGAGGGTCATGAGCACAATAAAACCTGAGGTAACGCCCAAGAAAATCACCTTCAAGCGGTCACCAAACTAAGCCAGCTCGCAGCAGCTCCTTACGTTACGGGAGGAGCCTCTTTACGTCAGCTCTGGGGCGAACAGATGTCAACATCGCCGGTCGCCAGCTCGTGTCTGCAAAGTGCTACCATCTTGTCAGTCCCTAGGCCCGAATGTAGCGGTGAGAACTCACTGTCAGGGCTCGTCTACGCTGTGGGGCTAGCCTCAGACCCGGCAATGATTGAGCCTTTGACTACAATGGCAAGTCCAACACAACAACTCAAATCATCTCGGCATCCGCCCTCGCGCCTTCTCCGCGCCCTGTGCCAGCAGCTCTCTGACGATCTCTATGTGGCCATTCGCGGCGGTGTGCATGAGAGGGGTCTGGCCTCACTCGCACTGATCCAACGGCTTCGGCTTCATCCCTTAAATCGGATGTTGTTGTTATTGTGTTTGTTCTTTTTGTGGCTGCTAAGCCTCTCGGCTCAGGAAACGTCAGGCTAGTACAGGTTGCCTTTTTCCTTTCTTGCCATGGCATTTGTCAACGCCTGAGCACTCCCGGTCGCAAGTCCGGGAGGGAGCACTTAAAGCTTCAGCTGTACATGGGATCCCTAACGACAGCAGCCTGGGAAGAGTTACTCTCCGTGCTCAGAACTACCTCCTATCAGGAGGTGAAAATTGTAGCTGTTCAGGAAGGTGGCAGTTTACCAAAGAAGATTGGCATGTTGTGAGCTCTGGTTCCACAAGAGAGAAGGGAGCCGGCGTTCTTGTGATGGTACACTCATCGCTCTGCAAACAGCAGGCACTCAGATATAACGAGGTAATCCCGGGTCGCTTGCTGCATGTCCGCATTCCTGGACAAAGTATTTCGCTAAATGTTTTTAGCTGTTACCAATATGTCTGGCGCTCGAAGGAAACACTAGAACAGAATAAACAGATGCGGAAGCAAACTCTCCAATCCCTTGGCAACTCGTTGCGGGCAATTCCCAACCGGAATACCTTGCTTGTGCTGGGGGATTGTAACATGTCCCTTAAGACAGACATGAAGTTCGTCGGTCCTTGCACTGTCCAGACCTGTAGACTGGGGCATCGGGGCACAAAGGACCTACAGCATCTGCTGGAAGACCATCAACTAGTAGCTGCCAACACATGGGGTGCTCGCAGACCCGCCACGCATGTTCAGGGCAACTCAGTCTCTCAGATTGACTTCGCCTTTGTTAGAATCACACAGTCCAAGGGTCCCGGCAAGCAGTGTCAGCTACCGGGGAACTTTCCGGTTGCACAGTGGCGGGACGGCAGCAAGCACTTTCCACTTCTCAGCAAAAGTGCAGCACAGCGGTGTTACTCCGCCGCGCAGGTCAAGCCTTATGATCAACAACAAGTGGATGATAGCTATGGGCAAGGCAGGGTGGACGAATTTAGAGCACAAGTTGTTACTTTTCTTCCAGACTTCCTCACTCTTGGGAGTCTCTCCATCAGGCAATGAGTGCTGCCTTGAGGGACCAGTTCCCTAAACGTAGGAGCAGTCAACCCCCTCCAGACGTCAGTGTATGGGAAGTCGGAGTGGCTCTCAGATCTTTGCCTCTAACTCTTAGAGTCATGGCGGAATCCATACCTGATTGCAGTTTCGAATCGTTTGCAAGTGCTGGCAAGCGTTGGCCTCTCAGAGTACTCAAGCCAGGAAAGCCAAGCAGCTGAAGAAGGAACGGCGTCAACAGGAGATAGATTCGCAGCTTCTTCAGTCAGAGTACAAATCCAAGCAGGACGGCAGCCATTCTTTTTACAAAATGATCAAAAGATTCCGGCCGGGTAAGCCTCAGGAAAGGGTGCAGCTAAGAGATGAATCTGGCCGCTTTGATGCCGCAGCCGAGGAACGTGCACAATTAGAAATATTAGAAAGATACTCTCAGGACCTCTTCGGTTCGGGCACGGATTTCCCCCTTTCATGGTGCCAGGGGAATCAGCTCATGACGATCAAGGCTGGCAAGGCCGTTTCGCCTCAAGGGCCCCAAGTTTGATCCAATGCTTCATTCAATCGCCGGCTCGGCCACGTGCAGTGCATGTCGGACTTCATTCCAAGCATGTTGGGACCTCCACGTGCCCGTGTGTGGAACTTCTTCATCGCAAGCAAGAAGAACTTCCGGCAGAGCTTCAAAGCAAGCAAACCATCTCAGCTCAGATCCAGGCTGAATCTGCCACAAATCCCGAAGCAGCAGCTCGCAATCCTGCCCTTCACTCCCACTTCATGGAAAGCTGTCTTTTGTGCGGGCAGCTCTTGGCGGGGCAGAAAAAAGCGCCAAGCAGCATCTAAATCGACAGCACCCAGAGGTAATGAGTAAGCTGGAGAAAGTCATTCCACAGCGACTTCAGCAGTTCAAGGTCTTCTTTCGCAAGGGGGATAACTGCCGGTACTGCAGGCTAGGGATTGACGCTCCGGGCAGGCACACACAGCAATCAATGTGTCCCATTACTGCAGGCGCACGTTCTTCAAGAGGTCGCACGGCAGCAGCTCAGCAAGCAGCCTAGAGACTATGAACCCAGTCAGCCATCTCAGCCTCAGTTAAGAAACACCCCTTCTGCCCAGGTAGGTTCAGCGGCCCCGGACGTTCAAACTCGAGGGCTGTTTGCTCCTAGCCAACACTAGGAATCATTGCCTCCTCTCTTCCCCTGGATTTCACAGACCCTGAGGGAAAGCTGCTTTGAGCAAGCCAACAGAGTTAGTCAGTTGGGACGCATCACACCGGAGCATACGTCACTCGCTGTGATCACCACAAGCTGGCACTTTGATGGACTTCAGCACGACGCTGCAGAGTTTTCTGATGCGGATCTTTATGAACCTTCCAGTGCCAAGTTTCGGCTGTGGGAGACTCGTGCATCAGTTCCGGAGGGGATCATGGTAGATGAGGAGGGTACTTCTCCCATTCACGTTGACTCTCAGGTGCATCCGGAAGCCCAACAAATGCTACATCAATGGACAGGCCAGGAGAGTGCTCATGCTCTCCTATCACCAGTACCCTACGTCTGCTTAGCACTGCCACGCTTTACTGAACGCTCCAAAGATCACTCCCCCAGTGCACTGGCCACCTCCTTAGACCTCCCCCTCTTCTTAGATCACACTTCAGCAGTCACCATGATGACCTACCTATTATCGGCGGTGATCCTACATATCGGTCAGGAGGCCACCTCGGGTCACTACAGGGCCATGGTCTGTAGTGGGGATTTCTGGTACCTGGGAGATGATGGAGCCTCACCCTCCCAATAGTCCTTGCATGATCGCATTGTTCAAGCAATTTGCTACATTCTCTTTCTCGACAGGAAGCCGGGGAAGGAGGGCTAACTCGAGCAAACTCGAACATACCGGATGTCGCTCCAGGAGCTATTTCAGAAATCGGCCATGGACGAGAGCTCCCCTCCCAAGAGAGGTGAGGCCATGAGCCCGAGTGGAGATTCTCCCTCAGGCAGAGAGGTGGAGGTGCTCCCCTCACCCGAGGCCGTGGCAAAACAGGAGGAGGGGGAAAAGGAGTTGGTGGAGGCGGAGGCCGTAGGCAAAGGAGGCCGAGGTACTCCACAAGGTAGCACAGGCAACAATGGCAGACTCAACCCACGGCACACACGTCTGATCTAGTGAATGCGATGGCCAAGCTGATCATACGGCATGATGAACAGATCCTGGCACTCACATCCGACGTCACCTTTATCTCCGCACAGAACAGACGGCGGTCGCCATGACCCTCAAGTTCTTCCGCGAGCTCAAAGATCGGCTAGTGATGGCCAGCAAAGATTAGGCCATCCAAGAGAAACTTCAAACCGACGGCTACCTCAACACGGATGGCGAATGGCCATTCCATGAATGGTCAGCAGCCGACCAGACGACTACCGAGACCCTCGACGAGCCCCTAACTACTGCCCAGGTGGTCTCAGGCCTAGGAGACGTCATAGCCAGGATCTCCTCGGACTCTGAACACGTGAAGATATTCAGGACTTCCAGCCCCCTCTCGGAGCACATGAGTGGCGGACCAGTTCGCATCCAACTGCAGTTTTCCGCCCGATCGTCCTCCTCGGGGCTGATCGAAACACTTCAGTCTCTCGCAGGAACATCGGCATTTTCTTTGCCAGAGGCAGGGCACACAACCGTCCCCACTGGTCAAGCAAATTCGAGACCTCATGTCCTGAAGGACTAGCAGGCCTCTAAGTTCGGCTTAGCCTCACGAGAAGGCTGACTCGGACGCAAATGCACTGCACTGCTCCCTATTGCAAGATACAGTCCTAAGCTTGTAACTGAAGCACAGCTGCACAGCTGTCTCCTGCGCGGAGGTGCTCCAGCATGGATCCACGCGCAGCTGGACGAGGAGGCCCTCCCGTCAGCCTTGCAATAAGCCGGCGTACGTTGCTCTTAATCAACACCAATGGGCGCATGGCATCGGCTCTCTCAGCACTCCAGCCCTCGCTTCTCACACGCCGTACGACCAGAGCCTCGCATTCCTGGCACAGGTCTTGCTGCCAACCTGCTGCTTTACGAGCATCAGAAGTCGCTCGGAATGGAGGCACTCCCCGGCGACGTGATGAAGGATCTTGAGGGCCGCATCAAGCAGCTGGCCCTGATCAAAATGATCAAGTGCTGAGCCTCGCGGCGGAGTTGCTCCCCACGGAGAAGATGGGGGAGGTCCTCCGTCACTTGGAGGTGATACAGGGGATATCGGAAGGGCGCAAATACGCCACCGCCGCCGCCCAGCAATTCTGGAATTGGCACTGTGACCATGCACAGGATGGATCTTGAGCAGTTTGAGCTCGAGACCTTCCAGGTCTCCTATGCATGCAGGTACTTGGGGGAACCGCTTCGCACCAATTTTCCGACGGAACTCGATGTCCTCCGCGCACTCTTCTACTCGGAAGACAGGCTCCTCAATCTCGCGTCATCCCAATGGGACTTGACGTACAACCGTCTTCGGACGGCAGAGTGAGCAGAAGCAGATTGGGTGGAGCTTCTCCCCTGCAGGAGGAGTTTCTCCACTGGGGTTTTGAATCGGTGGGGTTTTTACTCATACAGTGTCACTGGACAGCTGTGCCTAGCCAGCGAAAAACTCATTGCTTGCGTCAGCCTGCTAGCAGGCTCTCAAAAGAATACTATGCAAACGCACATGCTGTTTCATGCTGATAATGCTGCATCGATGGGCTTCTCTCACGATTTTGGGATATCTTGTCTTTTAGTTGTTGATGTCGAAGAAGGTTTGGCTGGAGTCTCGCTGCGAGACGAAAGTCATCGCCCGTGAGTGCCAAAGCCACCCGAGCTCCGAGAGTGCGGCCGCTGATGTCCTTGGCCTCCTGAGATGTCAGCAGCAGCAGTGTTGCAACGACTGCAGGGAACTTCAGTAGACGCTGTCTTGGCATTTGGCCCTACCAGTAGCCGGAGATGAGGCCAAACACATACAGCCTATTCTCCACCAATCCAAACTCACAAGCACACTCAAAGAAAATAACAAACAAAACACAAACCCAGGAGGGCAAGTATCCGTTCGGTATGAGTGCTTGGTTTTGCGTTTCCATCAAAGCAACACTTCGCCAGCCTTGTCCACGCCTCTTTCCAAGAGCTCCTTCACGCACTCCGCATGGCCGGAGCGAGCAGCGAACATCAGAGCCGTGAAACCTCAAACGTGCAGTGATGGGGAAGGCACATGGAATGGAGCACCTGATCCGGGTCACCATGTCCAGGTATAGCGCAGCACCATCTCTATTTTCTTGCTTTACTGTGCCTCAATCGTTACGAACGGTTGCAAGGTTCTTCAGTGCTCTCTGCTCAGCTGAGGTCTGCTGAAACGCTCACAGACGATTGGTAGCTGGCCGCTTTTGTAGTATACATACCCAAACCGAAGCTATCCCAAACCTTTGATCAGCCGAGGCCGCGACCGTCCTTGTCCTGCATATCCTGGTGGGGGAACTCGGCAGAGATTCGGCCGAGGGCATTCTACGAGTGTTCCATCTAATGAAATCTTTGAGGGGCGATGTCAGACAAACCCAAAAACTGGTTTACGGGTGCAGTTCCTGCAGCCCTGAGGACGCTCCCTCCATCTCTCCCTCCTTCTCGGCTCCGTTCTCCAAGAGCTCTTTGACAAGCTCGACGTGGCCGTCCCGCGCCGCTTCCATGAGGGCGGTCGGACCTCAGACACATGCAGCAAAGACTGAATCGGTCGTTCATGCCCGCCGCTACTTGCACAACGACCACTCCGACGCATGATATGGATCATGTGGACCCTCTGTGGCCGCCCCACCCACAACAAAACAACATCAACATGGGCTTATGGGCCTTAAACAAGGCCTTTCCAACAGCCTGCGAAATCGAGTTTCCAATACAAGACTGTTCTCATGAGCATGGTACATCTGCACCAGCAGCCGCATGCTTTGCGTTAGGGATGCCTTAAGTAAACGGGAGCAAGGCCACGATGCAGCATACATACACCTACTTGCTGGCGGCTGCTCAGTCAACCGATAGCTAACTCCGCCAAGCAAGCTGGCAAATGTGATTGTCAACACCCTCCCTCATGGTAGCAAGGCTCTGGCCCAGAAGTGCCCGGAAAATCGCGTTGTCGGCGGTCAGCTCAAGGACAGTTTTACCTCGAACAAACACGACAGCCACTGTGTGGTTTTGTTTCACGTTAGATACCTTAGCCACAGCTGGATGGAGATGAGTGCCTTCAGAGGGCACTACAGGAAAGTTGACAGGCTTCGAGATGGAGATGCTGGATCGGACACCCCCCTTTTCGAGGCCCCGGCCAGCGCTGTTCTTCTGGCCCTGAGGAAGGCCGTGATCATGTGTGCCACTAGGTGGAGGAGATACGACAATCCCGGCCGTCACACCTTCCTATAGACCTGCAGAAAGTTCTTCAAACCGCACGGGACCGTCTCGTGCCATTTGTGCCAGGTCACCCTCTTCGCATCCCGGTCAAGGAGCACTTTGAAGCACTCCTCATGGCCACCATGCATGGCGAGCATAAGCGCGGTGTGGCCTGGCTGTGCGACGGGGAAGGATTTCTTGCGTGGGATGTTTTGTTGTGACACACGGCGAGGCAGCTCGGCACCAAGGCCCCGGCCCTCGTTGTCTTGGCAGTCCTACGCCACGGATTGCAAGGCCACTGTGCTCCTCGGCACGCTCCTTCAAATCCCGAGCCTTGTCGGCTTCTCTGTCCAGGAGCACTCCGAGGGACTCCGTCTTGCCCTCCCTCGCTGCAAGCATCAGAGCCGTGCTGCCTGGGGCTCTGACTGGTCCGCTGCAATGCAAAGAGTTGAATCAAGAGTTGAATCAAGTCTTCGCTCATGCCGGAGCCGGCTGCCCTCGTCATCGTTTGCCCATATGATGCATGTGTGGATACACCCTCACAAATACATAAACATCCCTTGCTGCTCTGAGATTACACGACCTCCCTTATCCCGGATCCCTGCAGGGCCCGGACCATCGACGCATCTGGCATCCTGGTACGGATCTTGTGCGAATGAGGCCCTGGGCCGTCTACAAAACCTGCCTTCTCCATGCCTTTGTCGAGGAGCTGTTTGATGTTGGCTGCATTGCCATGCTTTACCGCCAACATCAGGAAAGTCAAGCCTGAGGCGCAGAGAATGCAAACGGACCGATGCAAGAATCCCATCTTTCATGTGTGACCATCTTTGCTTGCTGTGTGAACGTGGCCAAACCAATGTCCACCATTTCATTTCCTGCGCCGTTTCAGTTGGATGCGATGCCATCTAGTTGGCTTCCATTAGCAAGGCCAGGCTTTCGAGCATCTATGCTTGCAGAAGATGTTTAACATGTACAAAACTCTGCTTTTCGGCAAGCGTGCGCTCCCTGCGCGCTCGCCTGCATGCGGAAGGCAACGTGGTCTGTTTGGGAATTGTGTCAGTTCTTCGGCAGTTTTCGACAGATCCTTCCTTTCACCAGTGGAGCCAGTCGGGATGGCGCTGCCAACGGTCACGCATGGATGAGAGTCCGAAGTGACAGTGGGACGTGGCGCTGCAGATCCGGAAACCAGGGCAATGGCGAAGGATTCGGAGTTTCTGGCAGAAACTGTAAATTACCGACGGAATTCACACTTGCAATCAATCGTGGGATGTAAAGGCCGGGAAGGGCCAAGTGATTGAAAGATCACATGCAGGACTCCCCGCAATAACGGCCTCCTGTCTTCCGCTTCCCTACTGAATGTATGTTTCCGCCGACCCCTGCGGGCGGCGCCCGTGATATCCCGAGAGGTGTCCGCACCCACACCGCTTCCACCGCCTCCACCGCTCTGTTCAAAGAGTCTTTCACCGCTGTATTTGTAGGTGTTCAAAGAGTATTTGAAGGCTGCCAATGTGTGCCAGAACTGCCCCCACCGTCCTCACCACCCCCACCGCCCTCACAACCTCCACCACCGCTCTGTTTAAAGAGTCCTTCACCGCTGTATTTGTAGGTGTTTAAAGAGTATATAACTGCCTTTGTAGCACCACCCCCACTGCCCCCCACCGCCCTCACCACCTCCACCACCGCTCTGTTGAAAGAGTTTTCACCGCTGTATTTGTAGGTGTTTTTTTGAATATTCCTCCACTGTGCCCGGACCGCTCTCATTGCCCCCACCGCTTCCGCCGCCCTCACAGCTCTCACCGCCCTCACCACCCCCACTACCTCCACCACTGCCACCACCCCCAGTGTTCTGTCAGGGGAGGTATAACCGCTGTGTTTGTAGGTGTTTAAAGAATATTTAAAGGCTGCCAATGTGTGCTCACCGCCCACACCACCCTCACCGCCCTCACCACCCCACCACCCCCAGCCACTGCCCTGCCACCACCTCCACTGTGCCCACACCGCTCTCACCACCGCTTCCGCCGCCCTCACAGCTCTCACCGCCCTCACCACCCCCACCCCCATGTTCTGTCAGGGGAGTTAACCGCTGTGTTTGTAGGTGTTTAAAGAGTAAAGGCTGCCAATGTGCCCGGACCCCCCCGCGCCCCCACCGCCCCCACCGCCCTCACCGCCCACACCGCCCACACCGCCCTCACCACCGCCCTCACCACCCCCACCACCTTCATCCACCTCCACCGCTTTCACCGTTCCCACCGTCTCCACCGCTCTCACCGCCCGCTGTATTTCTAGGTGTTTAAAAAGTAAAGAGTATTTAAAGGCTGCCAATGTGTGCCCGGACCCCCCGCGCCCCCACCGCCCCCACCGCCCCCACCGCCCACACCGCCCCAACCGCCCACACCGCCCTCACCGCCCTCACCACCTCCACCACCCCCAACCACCGCCCCCACCGTTTTCACTACATCTCCATACTGTCGCCACCTCCATTCCCCTCCACGCCTGCCCACCTGCCTTTGTAGCACCAGCCCTACCACCCCCACCGCCCCACCCTCACCGCCCTCACTGCCTTTGTAGCACCACCCCAACTGCCCCCCGACCGCCCCACCTCCACCACCACTCTGTTGAAACAGTTCTCACCGCTGCCCTCACCACCCCCACCGCCCTCACTGCCCTCACCTGCCTTTGTAGCACCACCCCCACCGCCCCCACCGCCCCGCCGCCCTCACCACCCCCACCGCCCTCACTGCCCTCACCTGCCTTTGTAGCACCACCCCCACTGCCCCCCACCGCCCTCACCACCTCCACCACCGCTCTGTTGAAAGAGTTTTCACCGCTGTATTTGTAGGTATTTTTTTTGAATTTTCCTCCACTGTGCCCGGACCGCTCTCATTGCCCCCACCGCTTCCGCCGCCCTCACAGCTCTCACCGCCCTCACCACCCCCACTACCTCCACCACTGCCACCACCCCCAGTGTTCTGTCAGGGGAGTTATAACCGCTGTATTACTAGGTGTATAAAGAATATTTAAAGGCTGCCAATGTGTGCTCACCGCCCACACCACCCTCACCGCCCTCACCACCCCACCACCCCCAGCCACCGCCCCTGCCACCACCTCCACTGTGCCCACACCGCTCTCACCACCGCTTCCGCCGCCCTCACAGCTCTCACCGCCCTCACCACCCCCACCCCCACTGTTCTGTCAGGGGAGTTAACCGCTGTGTTTGTAGGTGTTTAAAGAGTAAAGGCTGCCAATGTGCCCGGACCCCCCCGCGCCCCCACCGCCCCCACCGCCCTCACCGCCCACACCGCCCTCACCACCGCCCTCACCACCCCCACCACCTTTCATCCACCTCCACCGCTTTCACCGTTCCCACCGTCTCCACCGCTCTCACCGCCCGCTGTATTTGTAGATGTTTTGCTGCCAATGTGTGCCCGGACCCCCCGGCGCCCCCACGCCCCCACCGCCCCCACCGCCCCCACCGCCCCCACCGCTTACACCGCCCTCACCGCCCTCACCACCTCCACCACCCCCAACCACCGCCCCCACCGTTTCCACTACATCTCCATACTGTCACCACCTCCATACGCCTGCCCACCTGCCTTTGTAGCACCACCCCTACCGCCCCCACCGCCCCAGCCTCACCGCCCTCACTGCCTTTGTAGCACCACCCCCACTCCCCCCCCCCACCACCCTCACCACCTCCACCACCGCTCTGAGGAAAGATTTCTCACCGCTGCCCTCACCACCCCCACCGCCCTCACTGCCCTCACCTGCCTTTGTAGCACCACCCCCACCGCCCCCACCGCCCCGCCGCCCTCACCACCCGCACCGCCCTCACTGCCCTCACCTGCCTTTGTAGCACCACCCCCACTGCCCCCCACTGCCCTCACCACCTCCACCACCGCTCTGTTGAAAGAGTTTTCACCGCTGTATTTGTAGGTGTTCCCGAAAGCATCGCGAAGGGTTCTTCCGTGCGGAGCCGGGTAGATGAGTACATAGATGACAGACATAGAAGCAACTTACTTGACTCTATACCTTACTTGACTCTACACTTGATACTTGACTCTATGCTATCTCTGCTCAAGCTCATAGCACTTGAAACTTACTTAGTTACTATACCTTACTTGACTCTACACTTGATACTTGACTCTATGCTATCTCTGCTCAAGCTCATAGCACTTGAAACTTACTTAGTTACTTATTACTTACTTACTTTTACTTACTTACTTGATGCTATCTCTATACTTACTTACTTACTTACTTACTTGACTCTACTTACTTACTTACTTACTTACTTACTTGACTCTGCTTACTTACTTACTTGACTCTATGCCTCTACTCTATACTTACTTATTTACTTATTTGAATCTACTTACTTACTTACTTACTTGACTCTATGCCTCTATGACTGATTCCCTATGCCTCTATGACTTACTCTCTACATCTCGGTATCTAAATCTCTCTTCTAAAGCCAGGGGTGGCACCGTTGTCGTCCATCGGGAATGCAACCCTTCACAAGGATTCGCCTCCTCGGGCGTTCAAACGCGAGGTAAAGTTACACATTTTAGGCGCCCGGCGCAACCCTTCACAGGGATTCGCCTCCTCGGGCGTTCAAACGCGAGGTAAAGTTACACATTTTAGGCGCGCGGCGCAACCCTTCACAGGGATTGGCCTCCGCGGGCGTTCAAACGCGAGGTAAAGTTACACATTTTAGGCATCCGGCGCAACCTTTCACAGGGATTGGAACTCTCGAGCGCCCAAACGCTAGGTAAAGTTACACATTTTGCGGGCGCCGCGCAACCCTTCACAGGGATTCGCCTCCTCGGGCGTTCAAACGCGAGGTAAAGTTACACATTTTGCGGGCGCCGCGCAACCCTTCACAGGGATTCGCCTCCTCGGGCATTCAAACGCGAGGTAAAGTTACACATTTTGCGGGCGCCGCGCAACCCTTCACAGGGTTTGGGCGCAGCTCAACTGCATTTTGCAACCCTTCACAGGGATTGGCATTTTGCAACCTTTCACAGGGATTGGCATGGTCGAATGCACGAACGCTAGGTAAAGTTGCATTTTTTGATGTGCATTGAAATGAATTTTGCAACCCTTCACAGGGATTGGCGTGGTCGAGTGTTCGAACGCGAGGCAAAGTTGCATTTTTTGATGTGCATTGAAATGAATTTTGCAACCCTTCACAGGGATTGGCGTGGTCGAGTGTTCGAACGCGAGGCAAAGTTGCAATTTTTGATGTGCATTGAAATGAATTTTGCAACCCTTCACAGGGATTGGCGTGGTCGAGTGTTCGAACGCGAGGTAAAGTTGCAATTTTTGATGTGCATTGAAATGAATTTTGCAACCATTCACACAGATTGGCGTTGTCGAGTGTTCGAACGCGAGGTGAAGTTACGCATTTTGCGGTGCCCGCGGAACCCTTCACAGGGATTGGCTTGGTCGAGCGTTGAAACGCTAGATAAAGTCGCACATTTTAGGTGCCCCGCGCAATCCTTGAGAGGGATTAGCCTCCTCGAGTGTTCTAGGCGGCAGGTGTGCAACAGGTACTGTTGCATGTTCTATAGGCGCTGCGTGTAACCCTCTGCATGGATTGGCGTGGTCCAGGGCTGAAACGTGTGGGCAAATTACTACTTGTAACCTTCCCGCCGTGCAACTCTCCACAGGGAGTGGCGTGGTTGATTGCAGGAACTTGCATCTCTGCGAGGTGCAATTGGCAACCCTTCAGAGGGATTGGCAGATGCATATATCGATAATATATATATATA